CCGGGACTGCCGGCACGACATCCGCCACCATGCTGGGGCTCAACCACCATCGCCACGACTCCGCCAACACCACCGGTAACCGCTCGAAACTGCCTTTTCCTCTTGCTGTCTGTACTATTACAATTAGGCCTAGAGTCTGTGGTCGGTCACCATCTGTTAGGCTATAGTACGCCTTCGTCATTTACCAGCGAATCAAATTTACTTTTCAGATGAGCCAACAGGCCAAAATGCAATAATAATGCACCAATAAGTAATACCTTAGCTTTCGACTTTCATGGCCATAAACAGTCTAAACGAGTAAATAAACGAATAAATAAGTAAACGAGTAGATAAGAGAAAAAAACTAAATGTGACATAGGCCTAAAACAAGTAGATAAATAGGTTTGTTGCTAAAGAGTATTAACAGAAAATAAAACCCAACTGGTTGGGGCACATTCTAAGGATGAATCCAAAGAGAATCCCCTACGCTTAAATTTCTGAAAAATAAGTCGATGGGAAGAAAGAAAAAAAGGGAAAGATCAATGAAGACATTGATGATGATTATTATTATTAATGTGATTCTGGTGTAGTGCAGTTTGACTCTTCGTCTATGTTCTTTTCATAAGGTAAAATAAAATTCTAATTTCAAATGCTGAATGAAGCTGGTGAAGCAGAATGTCGTGTTACTATAGGTCTAGTCGGTTAATAGACCAACTGACTGCTCTATTCAGTGACAAAATGCAAGCAGACTTTGAAATTTGACAGTTTAAGCGCTGTAAATGGTCTGTTTTAATGCATAATTTTTTTTAAGTTTCCTATATGAACCTATGAACAGGGTAACATTACTAACTTATGATAGAGTCGGAAACAGCACTGAAATTAGTGAAGTGGGAAAATTAAGAAACTGCCAATTTATGTAACCTAGTTATCTAGAAGTTGACCGTTTTCTAGTGCATCTGTGAAGAAGTAGGAACTATGCTCACGATTCATTCTAGACGGCGTTATTTCTTCGTGTGTTTAAGTGGCAAATTTTACGTTTAAAATAATTAGTTAGATGCAATTTTGTAATATTAATTTAAGGACATAACTTAGGCTGTAAACTCATTCTTCGGTGAGTAAAAACCATACGTTACTACTACAAATTAAGAAAGAATTCAAAGGTTTATCTAATTTCAATCTTGTCTTTGGGGCTAGAATTGCAATTCTCTCCGCGAAGACTAAGTTTCCAAAATTTTACCACGTGCAGCCTTTCCGATACAGATTACGCAACCTATCTAATTCACGTGACATTTGTTTGTTATTTTTAGTACTGAATCAAATGCGTTTAACTTTCAGTATTGAAAGTGAGACTCACAAGACACAGCGATAATTCTGAATACACTTAGAGATGGAAATCCGGTTTGTGAAATTTTACAAGGGTCTAAGCATGAAAACACAAAGGCAACATTTTAAGGGTAAAGTGTATATCCATGTGTTCTAGTTAAAATTATAAATTAATCCGTCAGATACAGTTTATAATCGGATGACGGTCTCTATGGGTTACGATCACATACGTTAGGAAGGTTATTTCTCCCTGTTACTTGATAAACAAACGAGCAGGATTACAATTTAAGCAAACAACTGTGAAAGAAATTTTAAAAAAATTGAATAGAAAACCCAAATGAATTTCAGATAAGACTCTAATAAAATAATTACATGCCGTGAGTAAGATAAGCAAACGAATACCACAATATTTACATCGATGAAAATTTTAATTGGAAATAATCTTGTTCCTTAAATAGTTTATTAGTTTATGAATAGAATTACCTTAAAATTCTGGCCTTGTAATAAGCTAAAAGAGTTAGTCCTAATGAATAACACGATAAATTTGCTAATTATACAGAATAATTTACAACTTTAGACAGAGGATTAGGCCTTTAAAATAAAACAGAGAAAACTTTTTTTTCAATTGCTTTCAGTGCTTAAAATAAAACAGAGAAAACTTTTTTTAATTGCTTTCAGTGTGTTTATCTAATTTCAATCTTGTCTTTGGGGCTAGAATTGCAATTCTCTCCGCGAAGACTAAGTTTCCAAAATTTTACCACGTGCAGCCTTTCCGATACAGATTACGCAACCTACATAATTCACGTGACGTTTGTTTGTTATTTTTAGTAATGAACCAAATGCGTTTAACTTTCAGTATTGAAAGTGAGACTCACAAGACACAGCGATAATTCTGAATACACTTAGAGATGGAAATCCGGTTTGTGAAATTTTACAAGGGTCTAAGCATGAAAACACAAAGGCAACATTTTAAGGGTAAAGTGTATATCCATGTGTTCTAGTTAAAATTATAAATTAATCCGTCAGATACAGTTTATAATCGGATGACGGTCTCTATGGGTTACGATCACATACGTTAGGAAGGTTATTTCTCCCTGTTACTTGATAAACAAACGAGCAGGATTACAATTTAAGCAAACAACTGTGAAAGAAATTTTAAAAAAATTGAATAGAAAACCCAAATGAATTTCAGATAAGACTCTAATAAAATAATTACATGCCGTGAGTAAGATATGCAAACGAATACCACAATATTTACATCGATGAAAATTTTAATTGGAAATAATCTTGTTCCTTAAATAGTTTATTAGTTTACGAATAGAATTACCTTAAAATTCCGGCCTTGTAATAAGCTAAAAGAAGAGTTAGTCCTAATGAATAACACGATAAATTTGCTAATTATACAGAATAATTTACAACTTTAGACAGAGGATTAGGCCTTTAAAATAAAACAGAGAAAACTTTTTTTTCAATTGCTTTCAGTGCAAATGTTTACCCTCTAGTTGTAAGCCTTGGGTTTACAATGAGGCCTGTGTGGCTTATTACATACAAATAAATAGGCTAGTGGTCTATGTGTTGCTAGAAATAGGTGACGTTAAGATTGTTGGTTCTCTACCGACATAACCGGACAGACTGGCACTACACGAGCACACTTTCCGGCGTCTGTATGTGAATTAGGCTACAGGCTATAGCTAATCAATAATAAACTAGCGTTAAATTGTAAGTTACAAAATGTTCATGTTGATAACTATAGAAAATTTTTGTGCTTACATAAAGAACGAGCTTGTGTTTTAATAGACTGAGACTAGATAGCACCAAACCTCCTTTGGTAATTGTCAGTCAACTGTTCTGTGACTAACGCTGAAGAATACTAATAAGGATTAAATCCATTCCGCAAGAATTACTTGCAATTGTGGACAATGCCTGTATGAAAAATGCATGTGACATTGCAATAGATAAATGAACAGGTCTCGTTTTAGTTGACTGGACAGTCGAATCCACTGTTTAATGTTACCTATGCTTAGAATAGAAAAAACTGGAACTTTGAGCAGTGGAAATCGCAATGAGGAGATATAGCTTTAGGGCAGAGATGCGTTTTTCCAAACGTTAAACACATTGCAGATTTGTACCTGTAGGCCTTCCTACAAATGGCTACTTCTGCCAACCAAATTACAGCGTGGTTATTTTCTTAATATTCAAATAAAGGCCTAGGCCTATTATTGACTTATCTGTTCTAGTATAACGAAGGATGTGATGATTTTAGGCATAGGCCTACAGGGAATGAACAACCTGTTCTTAGGATATCGACATTTGCGTTTGGGTCGGGTTTTTAACTAGACTGAGGAGAGACAAGGAATTCATAGAGAACTCTGATGTGGAAATCTCATGAGAAAAGTCTACTTGAAAGACTTAGATGGGTCAGCAGAATGACATTACGATCGATATTGAGAATTTTGGGAGGTGGATGTCAGTAACTCTGTATTATGCCTAATAGCGGACGTTAGTAGCGGGTCCCTCCGCCTTTCAATTTGTTAGTTAATGGCTTAGTCATCTACCCAATGCAATATGATACATGATAATTCATTCCTGTAAACAACAGAATTTCGGGAATGGTTCTTCCGAGGAAAAGTCCCATGACGACTTCAAAAGTTTTCTTACAGTTTTCCTACGATGCGTACCAGTTCCCCTACAGATAATGCCGGCATAAACGATGCTTAAATTTAAAGACTTATTTGCCGTTGCTTTTAAGCAGAGTCGATGCCGCAAAACTTGTCGATAGTCACATAGGACAAATACACGTAGACACGCAGGTCGGTATGTATGATATGAGTCTGAGTAAAGTAAGTAAATGCTGAAAATTAAACACTTACAATTAAGTAAATAAAGCCCTAAGTGAAGTCAGTATTAAAGTAAAAGAAGAAGAGAGTTCCCGAAAATTTTGCAATTTCAAAATCCTAATTTTGAATAGAAAGGTCGGATAAGAGTTCGATATTAAACGTTTTCTCTGAAAATTAATAATGTCATATAGAAATAAGTCTCGACTGTAAATGACAGAAATTGTAGACCACTTTCAGAGGTAATCGCAATACAGTTATTGAAAACAGTCAACGGACATACAATTGAATTTATAAAATGCCAAATTGCTGACGGTTTACATTTAAAATTTAATTTCTCTAATAACAAAGTCTTCAAGTTGAAGACTGTTAAATTCTGGTCTTTATGTTTAATTTAAGGCCAATTTGCTTTTCAGCTTCTTCTTCGTATTGACTGAACTGTACGGTCAGCCTATCATTCAATGAAAGTGCACTGTACTGTTGTATTAAAGATTCGACGTGTCTTTTGTGGCTGTTGCTAATTGAACAATTCTGAGGTATCTTTAACTGCTAAGTCATCCCATCTGCTAGGCAAAATAAATGAGACTGCATTGTATATGTTAAATTAAAATTGTGGGGTGAGATTTTTTGGGAAAAAGTAGTCGAGAAGAATTATGGAAATAACTTATGATAATCGATTTAATTTAATTTAATGTAAAATCCCCAGTCTATAGCAGTGATAGTTAACGTTTTACGGGTGAGGGACGTCTAGGAGGAGCTTATAATATTTGGCCACACCGTATGATTCTATCGAAGAGAGAAGTAAATAATCTTTGCTTAAACCAGAGAGACCTCGATTAATCGCCCTCGGACAATCGGGAGTCTAATGTAATTGGATTACAATTATGTTCTCGCATAACTCGTACCAATTGGCTTAAGAGGAAATATCGTGAGAATGTG